GGTACCAGCCGCTCCGCGGCACGTGGGATCCTCCCGGACCGGGGCACGAACCCGCGTCCCCTGCATCGGCAGGCGGACCCCCAACCCCTGCGCCACCGGGGAAGCCCCATCTCTCTTTTAAATATAATCAGTGGAATCTAAATACCATAGTGATTTTATGCTCACCAGTACTGACTTAAGAAATACATGACCACATGGGACTACCCTGGTGGTCCAGTGGTTAAGACTCTGCCCTCCTACTGCAGGGGGGGGCACCATTCGATCCCCGGTCCGGGAACTAAGATTGCACATACCACGTGGTAAGGCCAAAAAACAAAAAGAAATACATGACCACAGTCGTTTTTAACAGGTAGAAATTTCACATGAATCCCTTTTCTCTCTAAAATTTTATTTTCATTTAAATGTCAGCTCCCAAATTTTATCTGAATATAATTTTAAAGTCTTTAAATTAGCCAGTCAAAAAAATGTGTATAGATTGAAACCTTTAAAAAAATTTCTTGTAACCAACCATAAGTATATTAAAATGCTTTTCTCTGGATTAAGTTAATTATAGTTAGAATGATTCGTTGTATATAATTTATCAAAGATGAATATTATAGAATTTGATTATTAAAAGTGAAAAGTCAGATTTTTTTTGGAAATTCATCTCTTAATGAGAAAGATGGGACCTTTTTCAAGTGGTTCATGTATCCATCAATAAATACTACTTATTGCTAAAATCAGACAGGATTCAGCTTCATTTTTTTTTTTTTTTTAAAGATGGGAAGCCAGGAGAAATCTTGTAGATGCATAGTAGGGAATGAAAGGTGTTTTGTTACAGCTTTGTTACTATAGTCTTTGAACACTATTCAGAGTTACAGATCAAATATCACATAGTGATCTCATAAAAATGATTTTCAAAAAAATTTTCATTTTATATTGGAGTACAGTTGATTTACAGTGTTGTGTTATTTTCACAAATGATTTTTAATTATCTATTAGCTATAACTCAGTTAGGTTCTCCTTCAGTTTTTTAAAAGCTAAGAACTGGAAACCACTTGACTTAAAAAGGATTTATATGTTCCCCAATCATCAGAGTTACTCACTTTCTCAACACTGACACCAATATATCAAACTAGTCCTTTGACTGGCACCCCACATATTTTTACACTTTGGGGAAAAAGGAAACATTTAAAAGTAAAAATCCGCAGAAGGAAAACAGTGTAAGTTCATACTTTAAATGTAGTCTTGCCTTACCTGCATTACTCCTTTTGAAAGCAAGTTCTGCCCCAGTGGGTCCCAACGACTTAGGAAATAACTGGTTATTCCAGGTATATGGGTTCATATCCTTTCCACTGGCTATCAAGGACATGTTCTTGGGGTTTACACCTTAGAAGAACAAAACAGTCATTTCAAAGGTTAGAGTGCGATTGTAAGCTTGAAGGAAAAATACACATTCAAACTAAGACTAGAAAGAACGCGAGGGAATGGAAATAAATTTTGGCTACAGTGTAGCAAATACGTGCTTTTTATTTTTATTATTTTTTAAAAATTTTATTTATTTTATGTTTTTTGTGGTACGCGGGCCTCTGACTGTTGTGGCTTCTCCCGCTGCAGAGCACAGGCTCCGGACGCGCAAGCTCAGCGGCCATGGCTCACGGGCCCAGCCACTCCGCGGCATGTGGGATCCTCCCGGACCAGGGCACGAACCCGTGTCCCCTGCATCGGCAGGCGGACCCTCAACCACTGCGCCACCAGGGAAGCCCCAAATACTTGCTTTTTGATGGACCCTCACATGATCCTCAGCCCTAAATACAATAACCTGGAATCCTCACGGTGTCTTTTAGAAACGTTAAGTTATTTTCTGTAATACAAGTAATGATAAACATTGGACATTTCTTGCTAAATGTCTCTTAAAATTTGAGGTGGTGCAGAAATTTTCTTCCAAAAGATATTTCCATGTCATGCACTTATTTTGAGTGTTTGCTCTGTGCAAGACCCTCGAGGAACACTTGGGGTGGCGGGAAAGCAGACATGCGGCCAAGAGCCCAGGGGAGCTGAGAAGTGGGGAAGCACGTGTAAAGATCCATCTGTGAAGCTTATCTGCACATCGGATCTAGTGAAATATAAACAGCTAGTTGTTGATGATCGTTTGAAATCTGAAATGTGGACTCGGCCTTGGACTTTGGTCCCAGTGGTCAAAGGGTGTTGTTTTAACCTAGTTTTAAGAGATTTGGGAACTTCCTGAACTTGCTTTCTTTTGACTGGTAATTAAATTGGGTTCAGCTTAGCAGACGCCAGAGACATCACACTGTCTAAGCCTCTGGGTCATAAATGTAGAGTTCTCTTTAGTGTAGAAAACATCCTTACCGAGGACTGCTATTAATGTAGAGAGAAGGTCAGTCCCTGTTTCGAGGGAGCTTTGACTTTTCCCAAAGTGAACTCCTTGGCAAGGTTTCACATTTATGAGACATATAATAATATTCCTTGTTTTGGTTTTTTTATTTTTGCAAGTTAGAAATCTTAAATCACTTTTTATTTTCACATTTTCTTTCTGTAGTTTTTTTTTTTTAACATCTTTATTGGAGTATAATTGCTTTACAGTGGTGTGTTAGTTTCTGCTTTACAACAAAATGAATCAGTTATATATATACATATGTTCCCATATCTCCTCCCTCTTGCGTCTCCCTCCTTCCCACCCTCCCTATCCCACCCCTCCAGGTGGTCACAAAGCACCGAGCTGATCTCCCTGTGCTGTGCGGCTGCTTCCCACTACCTATCTACCTTACGTTTGGTAGTGTATATATGTCCATGCCTGGTTGTTCCGAACCAAGCCACAAGGTTACCTGTCATCAGTTCTCTAAGGAAACACTCCATCAGGTAGATCATTTCCCTTTATTATAGGATATTGCTCTCTATGGATTTTGGTTTCTAATAAAATACCTACAAATAGAACTATAAAAGGCAATTCCCTGACAATAAAGAAGATGCACTAGGTAGCAATTACTCAGGTTAAAAACATCTTCACACACACACACACACACAAAAGATATTTACCCCCAAAGAAGGTGCAAGGTCAGGGGAGAAAACTACAAATCTCTTTAGGTGAATATTTTTTATAAATACAGTTCAACAAAGAATGGGCCCTGAGTGCTTAAATTATTTTAATACGATTAGCCTTGCGATATCCCTAGTCTTTTTGTTTTTTCAGTAAATACATACTACACTATTGAAAATAATTGCTTAACTCTTTGTCTGTTAAAAGATTTCAATTTTCTTGGAAATAGACAATATCTGGAATTTTAAAACATGTATTAGTTTACAAGCTTTTCTGGGGTACTTTCTATAACCAAACACCGTTAAAGAGAAGCAAAAATTAATATACTATCATCCCGTCCCCTCAAAGGATGTTAAAAAGTCAGCAAATATTTACTGAGCACCTACCACATGCCAGGCAGTGTGTGTGGCACTGGAGAAAAAGTGATGAACAAAGTAGACCAGTTTCTGCCCTGTGGCTCTTATAATCTACTCTAGTGAGAAGGGAGACATGAACAGTTATAGATAATTAGGTGAGTAATTAGCAGTGTGCAAATTATGCAGAAGAATCTGGTGCTGAGGCTGCAAAAAACAGAAGCCCAAAGCCAGTCTTCTAAAAAGGTAATTTTAAGCTGGAATGTGAATCATGATAAGGACTTGGGTAGGAGTTGGGGAGGTATGTTCCTGGGAGAGGCGTCAGTGTGGGCAGTGGACCTGGAAAGGGGAAGAACTCTTGAGTCCTCAGCAAGGATGGAGCAGGGACAGGGCGTGGCCCAGAGTGAGACTGGAGAGGGGGGCAGGCAGCGGATCACAGGGGAGTTCATGGGTCTCGCTAAGAAACTTAAAACGCAGGAGAGTCACATATACAAATGACACAGGATGTTGGATACACTGGGTGGAAGGAAGGACCGTAAGTGATAATGGGACTCGAGAAGGATCCACAGAACAGGGTTTCCAAAGTGCTGGGGCTGGGAGTGAGAGCAGAGGGCACCACGGAGGTCGTTAGCACCTCCACTGTATACTCTTACTTGCAACAACTACCTTGTGATAATTAAGTACTCAAGGCTTACTGGGCGAGCTGATGCATGACTGCAGTCCCATCGTTAAGTAACAGAAAACAGAATCTCAGAGTCGTGCTCCAGTACACAGCTGGTCAGTAGCAGGTCAGTAACTATGACTCTTGCGTCCCTCTCCCTGAAGGCCAGTGTCACAGATCTGCCAATCCTTGTAGTGTAATGTCAGGCTGCCCTGAAATTATATGGTACATTTCTAGAGCTCCCATGATCCTAAAAGTTGATGCTTAATAAGACCTTAATACTTGGCTTTATGGTTAAAAAAAAAAAAAAAAAGGAAGGCCCCCAAAGATAATACTCTGTTATTCCTGAGGATATTCAGTGAATTAACTACAGACCATAAATAAATGTCAAGGATCACTTCTTTGCATTTCTGTCCTCTGCACTTGCTGGATCACGATAGGTGCTCAGTAAATGTTTGTCCAAGTGACTGAACTGAGCTCAGTTCTAGTTTCAGATCTCAACCAGCTCTAGACGGGCCATATCTCTGAGACCAAATGCGCCAAAATAGGGTACGGTCAGGCTCAGGTTTACATTTCAAACAGTTCGTTCTAATTTTGAGTCTATTTCTTAGGCTTCAATTACAGCCACGCTTATGACCCAGAGTAATTAGTAGAATTTGTTAGATCTTTCTGGTGAAAAAGGAAATGATCAGATGGGTCTCATACCCTGAAATGCGTTCCTGAAAACTGCACGAGGGGAGCAAACAGAGCTGGGAAAACAGGTGTCTGCTAAAAATTTTACAATACCCTCTCGCACCACCAGAGGGAGCACTTCTACAGCGTAGATGAAGCACTGATTTTATTTCAGTGAAATGGATTCAATTTTCTTTCTTTTTTAAACAGGGAAAAGTGTCCCCCATGAATCTGTGTTCTGGAAACTTTATTTACACCCTTGCTTTTGCAGTCAGATCAGAACTTCCTCATGGTTTCAGCACCAAAACTTACTAACCAACTGGTGTCTGCACCTTTCAAAAGTGCACCCTCTCTTAATTCCCACTCCTCTCACCATCCTAGGGAACAAGTCATCACCCTCCCTATCCAGACGTGTGCAGTGGCCTCTTGACCACTCTCCTTGGGCCCCTCGACCAGTCCCCTACCCTTTTTGAGCCCTTAGCGTGGTCTACCTAGCAGCCAGAATGATCTTTTAAAAACACAAATCAGATCATTTAGGAAACAGTATAAAATTCTACCTCTTATAAGAACTGGTAATGGGAGTGCAGAATTGTTAGCATACAGTTTACAGAAGGCATAGCTTTGGTGGGGGAGGGTGGTATTTTCTGAAGCATCCTCGTCATCTTGATTGGTGGCCGCCAGGCATTTCCTGAGCAGACTTCACAGAGGCAGGAGGTCCAGAAAAGTCCCCGGTGACAGGCTGAGCCCGCAAAGAGCGCTATGATTGTATTTCACTGGTGCCCTTTCTTCAGAGATTCAAAGACCCTGGAGCATGACCTATTAACTATTCTAGTTACCAGGAAACATTTTATTTTCTCTGCTTACCTGGAAGGTATCTTGATTGTTTCAAATAGTACTGTTTAGCTGTTGAAGCAGGTGACAATTCAGAATCAGATTTTAGGGAAATAGCAGCGGGTAAGTTCTTGTTTTCCTCTGTTGAGTGGTTGGGGCCTGCAGGTACTGACTCTGGAAGCCTTGAAAGTCAACATAAAGTAGCATCACTGGGTGAAGAACGGGAAGATGACGCCTGCTATGCTCTCGCCCACCCTCCGCCCATCTTTTAAGCCAGTCAGTGGTTTCCATCAGAGACCTTCTGCTGATAGGAGCACTAAATGACAGCCCCTCTCCCCGAGTAGATATCGGGCAGTGCATAGAATCCTTCCTAATACTGGACAGTATGAGGCAGAAAGCTTTGTAACTAAGCAGCAAATTGCCTGTGTGCAGTATGTTTCCATTTTTCCTGCGACTGCCGCAGCTGTGGATTTGTGATGTGGGAAGATGGCATGTTGGAAGCGAAGAGAATCACAGCCATCTCCAGCTGGCTACTCCAGCAGTGTGTAACCACTCAGGTTGTTAGAACACGGTTTAGGCTGGGCTAAGAGAACTAAAGTGGGGAAGTGTTAGGAAAGTCCCCAAACAGAATTTCCAAAGAGCCTAATGACATACAGAGACATCATGCATTTGTTGAGATGTGCTTGTTCCCCAGAAGGCAGAATCGACTTGGGCGGTGGCGAGCGCCTGGCTGGGTGCCTGGTGGGGTGCCTCTGTCCCCCAGTGCCCGGCCTCCTACGGCCCCAGTTCTGTGTAGGAACGGAGGCCTTCTGGCATCCAGGCTTAGCTCTGTCTAGTTCCCGAGACCATCTGTCCGAGCAGCAGCCTTCGCTGCCAGAGGATGGGGCTGCGATTGGTTGTGCTGCCTGTCGCTCTGTGTGCAGCCCTGCACTACGACCTTCTCTCCCACCTGTGACTGGGCCTCTTCCTGTGCTGTGGCCTGGCCCCCCTGGCCAGCTCTCGTCACCTGTCTGACCCCAGGCTTCCGCGGTTCCCCCCGGGAAAGTCCTGCTTACCACGTCGACCCCCTGAGGGATGGACACTGCTGTGATTGGCCCTTTGGACTGCTCGCCACCACTTTGGGATGGCCCTGGACACAGGGAGACCCCTTCATTAGAAACAGCCCTACTCATTTCCGGCCACTGTATTTACACCCTGCTTTCCAACACAGGCTAAAATACCCTATTTCTAAATGCCGGGTTTTCCCCTTAAGAGAAATACATATAGGACCAGGAAGGGTGAAGAGCCAGTCTTCTGATCTGTCCCTTTGGTTATAGCACCTCAGCGCTTGTTACACCCTCGTGCCCGGCAAGATTGGAAGTGGCTGAGAGGTGTGACTTTCTGACTTAAAAGTGGAAGGGGGATTAAGCAGGTTTATTCTGTTTATTCTCAAGTTTGTGGATTTTAGGGAGGAGTAGCTGTGGAACTTGGGGATCTGGAAATTGACTGACTGAGAATTATCTCCCCATGGAAAGTCTTCATCTACCTTCAGAGGTATGTGTATTCCAAAGTGAAGGCTTCTGCGCCGTACAGTGCCAGACAGCTATGAGAGAAATTTCCCTGACTCCTGCGTCATCTTTTCTCCCTATTCCTCTTCTGTTCCAAGGCGGGGCAGGGACAAGGAAAATATTTTCCCAAAATATTCACCAAAATTTCACCCATCTTCACCTCAAAGTTGGATAATGCACTAATGACGATGCCAACTGAAAAGGGATTGCTAGAGATACCAAGCTTCCAGGAAAAGTTCAGAAAATGATCAAAAAAGTTGAGAAGAGCAAGCAAATAAGTGATTAACTCTGAACGCCACCACCAGAGGAAACCATTACCTTTGTAGACTGTGCTTTGCTGTCTGAGAAGAGGCATGTGGATTTCAAATGGGAATTACGGGGATCATAATTTAACAGCGGACACGAAAAACTGAACTAGAACTCCCCCTACACACGCTCAGCCACTGGTGCTGGGCATTGTCGCTGTGAGGGACTCAGGAGTCGTACTTTTTCAGAGGTGAGCACAGAGGTCTGGATTTGACAGGAGAAACAACATTAAGCTGCTTCTTGTCTTTTAATGTGTACACTCATTTATACGTAATGAGTAAAGTTGATGCCTGATGCAAACATATTTTCCCGAGAAATGTGAAATCTTACCGAGATGGAGAATCTGTTTTCCTCGTTTCTTTGAAAACGCGCATGCTTGGTTTCTTGGAATGGGAGACCCCAAAGTCACATTCCTCAAATTCTTCCCAACCGTCTTCAGCCTTGAACACAGCCTGACCCCAACGCCTCCTGGCACCTTTATGGCCCAGAGTGCCATTTGGCTTCTGTGGTGGGAAACCGGTGTCGTCATCTTTAATCGGGTGCTGAATGCCTTTTATGTGCACGCTATTATATTTGAGGCTAAGAGTCCCCCATCCTCAAGGAGCTTTCCATACAGTGAAGGAGATAACACATATACATATTTAAAAGTATTAAGGAAAATAGGTAGCACATGCCAAAAATATGATAGGAAACTGAGAGAGGACAGATCTCTGTGAACTTCGGTTGGGGGAGACTTGAATACGTAAGATCAGAATTGACTCTTCGTTGATGTGTAATCTGGAAAACTGCCACGTGTGGCTGTGTCTCTTTGGGCAAATGACTTAACTTTTCAAAGCCTTAGTTTCCTTCTCCTTAAATGGTGACATACAGTATTTATCTAATTTAGTGTTTTCGGATTTGATAGTAAAATACATCGAAAGTTTTTAGGATAGGGCCTGGCACATAAGCGTTACTGTAGGTTAGGTATTATTGTTGTGGTTGTTATTCTAGAGTTTGGAAGAGGAGATGCATAGAGTATGGCTTTTTAATAGGAAAGTGCCAGAGTGTGTTCCAGGGGGAAAGGGCAGACTGTGTTTACTGAAGCAGATGGTTCGTGCTGGATGGAGGATAGGGTTGTAAAGACAGGCCGATGCTATATGATAAAGGGCCTTCATTGTATGCCTGGGACATCGCAGCTGTCCTATGGGCAGTGGAGAACATTGGATGTTTTTGAGATTAAAAAGTGATGTGATAAAGGCAGCATTCGAGAAAGGTCAGGCTCCTCAGATAGGAGGCCTTTGCAGTTACAGTGGCATGTGGTAACAAGAACCAGGGGTTCATAGTGGTTGGAATGCTCAGGAAAGAATACATTTGCTGTTAACAAGAAATAAAAGGTCTGGACTTTTTTCTGTCTCTCCGAACAGAGGTCAAGGAGAGTGTAGCAGACACCTCTTCCTCACTAAGATTTTGTTCAGGGCAGCAATATGCCCACGTAAAAGATCTGAAATGCCAGCCTCCCTTGCAGCTCTGTGTAGCCATGGGACACGACCTAGCCGGTGAGTTGTAAATGCAAGTCTGTTGGGAGGGGCTTCCACGAGAAACAGTTTAGGCTCTGCCGGCCTGTGCCAGTGTCTTCCATTCTTACCCCTTCTGGAAGGCAGATGCAACCCCAAAGGAGCAGCAGCCAGCTATGGCCACAGGACCGAGAGCCACCTGCTGAGGAGGGCGGTAGAGCAGGAAGACAGAGCAGTCTGGTTCCTTTTATGAGCTACACCAGCCCTGGCTTACCCACCACCCGCCTTCTCGCTATGAGAGAAAAACAACCCCTCGTGGTTTAAGCCACAGTGGTCAGGTTCTGTCATAAGTCACTGAATGTAATCCTGTTGGACACAGAGAAGGAAAGGCAGGGATGGCTTTAAAAATGTGAGCCTGACTGTCTCAGAATGGTAGCTCTGTTAACAGAAATAAGGAATGAGGAAGAAGACCTGGTCTGGGGCAGACCATGGGGTGGTTTGGGGACATATAAACTGAAAAATCCAAAAGGCAATGGAAAATTGGGGAATTTGGAAGCAATGTCAGCAAATAACAGCTGTGTTTGAAGTAAGAAGTTGCTTAAAGAATGGATATGCGGGCTTCCCTGGTGGCGCAGTGGTTGAGAGTCCGCCTGCCGATGCAGGGGACGCGGGTTCGTGCCCCGGTCCGGGAAGATCCCACATGCCGTGGAGCAGCTGGGCCCGTGAGCCATGGCCGCTGAGCCTGCGTGTCCGGAGCCTGTGCTCCGCAACTGGAGAGGCCACAACAGTGCGAGGCCCGTGTAGAAAAAAAAAAAAAAAAAGAATGGATATGCCATTGCTTGAAGCTTATGGTGCCACAGTGATGGATGATGAACAAAAAGTGGTATTTGCCAACTTCTCTTATACTATTGTTTCTTGGTCAGAGAGAATGAGCTCCAGACTAAGGAGAATAAGAAGATCTAAAGCCCCAGGTGAGTAGAGTTAATCAAAAGTTATACTTGGCTGAGTATTATTTCAGTTGAACTGTAATACAGTTAGGGTCCTG